GCGGAGTGACCTTTTGAGGCGTCTGCATGCACAACAATATGATGCAAATATGTCTCAGACTGATTTTTTTTCCAATTTGTCTATCAGCAGGAAATTGTAGAAGCAAAGTGGTACACTTAGACATGAGTGTCAAATCAGGTATAACAGTGAGTAATTCCAGCTATCCTTATTTCTCCAAATGACTGACTATATTAATCAGCATGGTTGCTATGACAAGTGTGCTTAGTATCTGTATTCTTTAATGTTCTGTGCACACCAGAAATTTTATTTACACCACAATACCAACCTACTAATCCAGGCCTTTTTTTGTTTCAGGCAAATAGTCCTCTTTGGGTAAACAGGGAAGAGCAATCCATTTCTTTTTCCACCACTACCTTGCCTTCTTATTTTCTGTAATATTGTTTTATTTAAGAATTTTACATACATTATACAATTTGGGCAAATGATCTTATATTACACTATAACGTATGTAATTGATACCTGTGTAATTGGGACAGTGCAAGTTTTGTTTTTTGTACAGTTTTTGGTGGCAGAGAGAAAGTCAAGTCAACAAGCAGTGTTTTGTTTTGTTTTTTTTAATCCCTTTCAATAATCGGGAAACATATCTATCACTCAGAAGATATCGCTCCTGCGCCAAGGTATGCTGCCAAAAATACTGTCAGATGAATGCACAGTGTTATGTGTCATGGAATTGTTATAATTTCTTGCACCAGAAACTCATATATCGAAACAGAAATAGAGTGAAGTCAGAGGAGCTTAGTCACAAAACGACAACTAATAGTAAATTTACAAATGGCAAAATATTGGCTGAAATAGCCAATGTGAAAATATTCTCCAACTCTGCAATAAACAGTTTTATATTCTCATTTACTACAATTATGAGTTTAATGAATAAACCTAAAAGTGAACTTAAAATTATAGACCTAAATGACGGAACCCAAAACATAGCGGACTTGAATTTTTCTAGTTTTGCTATTTTAGTCTATCATTTTGAATGCACTTTCAATTTCTGGCAATATACATTTTAATGGATACTCCACACACAAAGTACTTCAGCTGCCTGAAGTGCTTTATGTGTGAAGAGTGTGTGTCTTTGTTTAACTTTACAAAAAGTGAAGGTTTCTATAATAATGGGCACTTTTAAGTATTAACCTTGTTACACAGCCGGTCTGTCATTTATCCCATTGTGGTTTATCACAGTGAAGTTACAAACTTGCAAAGACTTTTAATGAACTGCACTGAGAAGTTTGTAATTAGACAGCCACATAAGGTCTGGGCCCTGGTTAGAAGAGGAAGGCTTGCACAAGCTGCAGACAAGACCTTTATTGTCTGGAAGCTGGTTTTAGATATGTGAGAACCAAAAAACAATGGATGGCCCTAGCACTCATCCAAAGAGATGCATCAGATTCTAGGGGAATTCCCAACCCCTCAAAAATGTCAATACACAATTTTAAAAAATTAACAACCATGCAGTGCTCTTAAACCTATATACAAACAAAATAAACTATTTTATAAACTAACTATAAATTTAGCCAGATGGCATTATTTGGCACGCCTCCAAGCTAGAGGAGTTTCTTTAGCTCCCCCCTCCCCCTTTCTCCCACAAGATCATAGTGCAGCAGAAGGAATAAACCCAACACTGGAGCCTGAATGGCGTGATCCGACTCCATCTCTTCCCCCCGGCCACAACCGTCAGGATATTACAAGAAAAAGATTTTCCAAAAACACATGTGTAAATCTGACAGGCATGCCCAATGCACTTTTCCAGCATTCCTATGGATAGGACAATGATTGGTTAGATCAGTGCCCCTCTGAAGTGGGCGTGGCATGCATAACAAAGAAGCAAAAAATATATTTACAGACAGTTGTCTCAAAGTGTATATGTTTGTGAAGAACTGAGAAGGGACATTAAAATGTTAGCCCATAATAGTCCAACTGGAAGGGAGAATATCTCCAGCTGATCCACTTTTACAAATCTACTATCTTGGAAGAAAATTGAAATTCCATTGTCAGCTCTAGTAAGATTGTTTACTAGTGTGATTTGGCAATAATTCTAAGTGAATTTTAAATATTAGGTCAAAACAGATAGGATAGAAAACTTCTCAAAGTATTAAAATAAAACGAATTGTGAAAAAGCAGACGAACAGGGTTATTTAATAAATTGAGAATGGTCGGGGAATTCAAATTTAAAGTTAAAGTAGCCAAGCTAAAAGCATAGCGGCCTGGAATAATTTTTACATAAATCTGCCAATATGAAACGTTTGTTCTGAACTTTCTGATTCAGCTTTCCATTTACTACAATTCACTGTTTAATTAATAAGCCCCTGCCATGTTTCAGTTCACATTTTAGTGAATAACCCTGTCCATAATTCCTTGTTTAGTAAATATGAGACATGCGGAGACCATCCCTTATTTAGTGTAATCACAGAGGTCAATACGGTCACCATCTTAAAACAATCCCTAAACAACCTTCAACCAGAACTTATTCCATCCCAGGTATGTGTGTTATTCTGCATTGGTCATCATAAATCTCCAGTACTTGCACAAACCTTACTTTCATGGCATGTTTTATATATCCTAACCAGCATGTAACCCTGAGTGTGCATGTGTTGTGTCTTATAATATAGCTCTCTGTCCTCTATTTGTTTACCCCCCCTCCCCAGCTGAGCTCTGTGTGTGTGTGTGTGTGTCTCTGATCTGTCTCACTCTCTCTCTCTCTCCCCCTCCCCCTCTGCCTATTCATGTCTCTGTATACTGACTCGGGCACTCCCCAACGTCCAATGAGCGGCCTCCTTATTACTTCACTACCGGGCTCTGCATTTTTACACACTTTATGACCCCTTTTATTCATTGTAACCGAACCCCCAGAACCCCATTAGCCTCCCAAACCCTGCGAGGTCGCTCCCCGCTGCTTACCTATAAGCGAGACGAAGCGCCGGGTTAAAGCCTTCACTTCTCCTCCATGCCCTCCCCAAGATGGCGGACTCGTTGCTAGGGCGGAGCAACCAATGGAAGCGGGGAATGAAAAGTGTAGAGCCAATCGCAGCCGGCCTTTTAGCCACGTGTGTCCTTAGGCGAGAGACAGTGAGGCAGATTAAAATAGTCATTGATTGTGTTGTCAGGGTGTGCCTGGCTGGCAGAGAGAGAGGGAGAGAAAAAGAAAGAAAGTATATTATGTTGTGGTTTTAGCAGCACGATACCAAAGCATGTTCGTAAGGATGGCAGGGAGAACTTGTAACTGTGTGATAGTCTTTAAACGTGTGATGTTGAAGTGCTGCCCCCAGTTAAAGAACTGACATTGCAGCTAGAATGAGCAATGCTTATTGTGCTGCTCTAATTCCAATAGGTTTATGTCAGCTGATGGACACAGCCCATGGATGGTTTCAGAGTGTGCATGTTATTGTTACTGCAGACCTTCTGTATGAGTAATTTGTTGAGAGAGGGTCCAGGCAATGGGTGACTTAAGGGGTTCTAACCACCATGACCACTTTTACTTTTATGATTTATAAAGCGCCAACAAATACCACAGCGATGTACAATGGGTGGACTGTCAGACATGTATTTGTAACTACTTTTAGAAGTGGTCATGGTGGTAGGAATCTGTATGGGGCAGTATTTCTGCTTGAAATGCAACACATACAGAGAAATATGCGCTTTTGTGAAGGGGGCTAATTACATCCCTGGCACATGTGATATAGGCAGCCCGGAATTATGTTCTGTGCTGCCTAATGTTAAATTTGTGCATAAATTTTTTTTTATTCTTGATTGGCGTGCACTGTTAATAGACCTAATACGCTCCTACTCTTGCTGGGAAAGCGCCTGTAAAGGGAAGTCTAGATCTCCCCTCCCTTTGTGTGCTGCCTGCATTCACAGTTAAACCTTTTCTCATTATTAAGTCTTCTTGCATAGCAAGACCACTTAATGTTATCACACATATATTATTATGTGTTCTTGCATAGCAAGACCACTTAATAATATATATGTGAGATAACATTAAGTGGTCTTGCTATGCAAGAACACTTAATAATATATATGTGAGATAACATTGTGTTTTTGCATAGCAAGACCACTTAATGTTATCTCACACATATATTATTCTTATTTTAGCCAAATTTACCACCCTAACTCCTCCCACAGGTTTTACACTACATAGACAGTAATATACCGAAACGTGCGGATTGTTCCCGATTGCATTGCTATTACTTTGTGGAACGTTTTGCAGAATGGTTCATGGAATATCGTCGTTCTTGTGGCGAAATTGGTCCCATAGGAATGAATGGCAAAATCTTCAAAACTAGAGTGGGAGCTGGCAAAAGCTGAAAAATCAAGACATAGTAACAAAGCTGAAAAGAGACTTGCGTCCATCAAGTTCAGCCTTCCTCACATTTGTTTTTTGCTGTTGATCCAAAAGAAGGCAAAAAAAAACAGTTTGAAGCACAATTTTGCAACAAGCTAGGAAAAAAATTCCTTCTTGACCCCAGAATGGCAGTCAGATTTATCCTTGGATCAAGCAGTTATTACCCTACATTGAAAGATTATATCATTGAATATTCTGTTTTGCAAGTATGCATCTAGTAGCTGTTTGAACATCTGTTTGGACTCTGATAAAACCACTTATTCAGGCAGAGAATTCCACATCCTGATTGTTCTTACAGTAAAAAAAACTTTCCTTTGCCTTAGACGAAATCTTCTTTCTTCCAGTCTAAACGCATGGCCTTGTGTCCTATGTAAAGTCTGGTTTGTGAATAGATTTCCACACAATGGTTTGTATTGGCCCCGAATATATTTGTATAATGTTATCATATCCCCTCTCAGGCGACGTTTTTCTAAACTAAATAGGTTTAAATTTGTTAACCTTTCTTCATAGCTGATATGTTCCATTCCTTTTATTAATTTTGTAGCCCGCCTCTGCACTTTTTCTAGTGCCATAATATCCTTCTTTAGAACAGGTGCCCAAAACTGCACAGCATATTCAAGATGGGGTCTTACCAGTGATTTATAAAGAGGCAAAATGATATTCTCGTCCCGAGATTGAATGCCCTTTTTCATGCATGACAATACCTTACTGGCCTTGGCCACTGCTTGACATTGCACATTGTTGCATAGTTTGTTGTCTATAACAATTCCCAAGTCCTTTTCGTGTGTTATCCCTAATTCGCTTCCATTAAGGGTATACGTTGCTTGTGTATTCTTTACTTCGAAATGCATAACTTTGCATTTTTCAACATTAAATTTCGTCTGACATTTGAGTGCCCAGTCCCCCAGTCTATCTAAATCCCTCTGCAGCAAAGTAATATCTTGCTCACATTGTATTATTTTACAAAGTTTTGTGTCATCTGCAAACACTGAAACATGACTTTTAATGCTGTCTTCAAGATCATTTATAAACATGTTAAATAGAAGGGGTCCCAGAACAGACCCCTGAGGGACCCCACTTACCACTTCTGTCCAGCTTGAAAATTTACCATTAATGACAACTCTTTGTACTCTGTTTTAAGCCAATGTTCTACCCAAGAACAAGCATTTTCATCTAGACCAATTTCCTTGAATTTGAACACTAATCTATTGTGTGGAACTGTATCAAATGCCTTGGCAAAATCCAAATAAATCACATCCACTGCAACACCCCGATCTATACTTCTACTTACTTCTTCGTAGAACGCAATCAAGTTAGTTTGACATGACCTGTGCTTCATAAAACTGTGCTGATTTTTGCTGATAACCATGTTCTTCTCAAGGAATTCTTGAATATTGTCCCATAATAACCTTTCAAATATTTTACCAGCCACAGAAGTTAAGCTCACAGGTCTATAATTTCCAGGCAAGGATTTTGAACCCTTTTTGAATATAGGAACCACATCTTCTTTTCTCCAATCCTCCAGAACACTTCCTGAAAGAAAAGAATCTTGAAAGATTAAAAACAGAGGTTCACTTATTTCTACACTTAGTTCCTTAAGTACACGTGGATGGATACCGTCAGGCCCTGGAGCTTTGTTTGTATTAACTTTCTTTAGTTGCTGTAGCACCTTGTCTTAAGTTAACCAATTACAATTATTCTGCAAGTTTTTAGTAGCAATCATTTGCACATCTATTGCCATGGGTTCTTCCTTAATATATACGGAGAAGAAATAGTTATTTAAAATTCCTGCCTTTTCCTGGTCTTCATTAACCAACACCCCCGTTTCAGTTTTTAGTGTACCTACACTTTCATTTTTGGGTTTTTTAGAATTTATGTACTTAAAAAATGCTTTGGGGTTGGTTTTGCTCTCTTTAGCTATCATTTTTTCATTTTGAAGTTTAGCAAGTCTAATTGCCTTTTTGCACGCATTATTTGCTTCCTTATATCTTTTATAAGATGCATCTGATTTGTCCGATTTAAATGCTTTAAATGCTCTTTTCTTATTTTTAATCTCTTGTTTTACTTCTCTACTAAGCCACATTGGTTTTAATTTGTTTCTTTTATATTTATTTCCCAATGGTACATACTGAAAAATGTACCTTTCTAATATTTGTTGGAAGATGATCCATTTATCCTCAGTGTTCTTTTCACTAAAGAGTTTATGCCAGTCAATATATTGTAAAGCTTCCCTTAACTTATTGAAATTGGCCTTTTTAAAAATTATATGTTTTAGTATACCCCATGTGCTTTTGTTTTTTTGAGTTTATTTCAAAGGACACTATATTGTGATCACGATTTCCCAAGTGCTCACTTACTTGAATGTTGGTCAAAAGATCAAGATCAATAGTTGGTTTCCCTTCTTTTCCCCCAAGCAGATATTTACCCGTAAAGCTTCTACATTTTCCTCATCGCATTCCATTTGCTTAAGATTTGGCTTTAAATCATGGTTGACATACAAACATACCCCACCACCCTTCTTGTTTTTCCTATCCTTCCTAAATAACATGTACCCATTTAAGTTAACTGCCCAGCCATGTTTCTCATCCCACTATGTTTCAGTTATCCCTATTATATCATATTGTTTAGTGTATGCTAATGCCTATAGTTCCCCCATTTTGTTATTTAGGCTCCTTGCATTAGTAAGCATACATTTAATATTATCCGTCACTTGTATATTTTGTGAATTATCAACATTACATAGCTTCTCTGTTCTGAGCTTGCCCCTCCCCCCATCTCCACCCCCCTTATACTGTGCTAAAGCCCATCTCCTTTCTGTACTATCTAAACTGCCACCACTCCCTCATTTTCAAGCCCACCTACACAAATCTTGTATCAAAACGTTCAGCTAATCCTGCTGCCACTAAAAATGTCCACGGCTAAGCCATAGTACTGATAGTTTTCACGATATGACCATTTGTTTGCAACTCACGCCGTCCATTGACATTCATTGAAACTCCACTGCAGCCAACTTAAAATTGAAGGGCAATTTCTAAACTGCGACTGTGCCATTATTTTTAATACTTCAGAGACATACTATGCATCAAAATGTAGGTCTGGGTCTTGTGATTCTCACAATATAAAGCTATTTGCTGTAGGATATATAGTTTTTAAAATACGACAGTTTGAAGATGGCAACCGCCAAAATACTCTGACCTGTGCCAGGCTGGAGCAGCAAGTGATGTCATAGACAGGGTCTCTTGTATTATTATTATTATTATTATTATTATTAAGTGTTCTTGCATAGCAAGACCACTTAATGTTATCTCACATATATATTATTAAGTGTTCTTGCATAGCAAGACCACTTAATGTTATCTCACATATATATTATTATTATTATTAAGTGTTCTTGCATAGCAAGACCACTTAATGTTATCTCACATATATATAT